CAAAGCAACACAATATTTAGAAAACATTTTTATGTACATTTTCAGTAGGGAAATAGTTTATTCTGATTAGAACATGACACATACAGGATGCTAACTGTAGACCCATTGGGCTGATGACACATAATACTTTTGTCTTCAACATGTCCCTTGGTGACGACAACAAAATAACACAGAAGAAATGGAGGAGTTCAGCATCTGTACATGGTTGTGTCCCTCTTCACTGTGACTGTTGGAGTTGACTCGGACAGCAGCAGGTCAGAATGAAAGAAACCCCCGCAGACAACACGCAGACTGAAAGACTGAATAGATTAACCACTAGCATCTCCAAGTGATAAAGGGCTTGGACAAAGGAGGCATCGATGAAGAAAGAAAGAAGATTAGAATTTACCTTAAGTCTTAATTGTAACTCCAGTTTGACAGCATTCCCCTTGCTGCATAGAATCCAATTCAGTCCATTAAATCCAGTTTGCACTCCTATGTTTTCAAGCTCTGTTCCACCTCCAAGACAGACATTTCATTTCATTTCATGCCAACATTGCAGCTGACGTTCCTGTTGAAATGTTCAACCCCGAAATACACCTGGCTGAAAGGAGAAGCAGAAAATACTCCCAAGACTCACTCCGTGCTCCGGTTCACATGCATACAGAAGTGGGAATAGATAAGGCAGAGCATTCTGTAGTATACAGTACGCACTCTTTTGCTTACTCTCTCTTCTCAGCTCTCTCCCTCTCTTGCTTGCTCTCTCTCAGCTCTCTCCCTCTCTTGCTTGCTCTTTCTCAGCTCTCTCCCTCTCTTGCTTGCTCTCTCTCAACTCTCTCCCCTCTCTTGCTTGCTCTCTCTTAGCTCTCTCTCTGTTCCTCTCTCAGCTCTCTTGCTTGCTCGCTCTCCCTCCTCTGTCCCTCTCTCCCGCTCTCTCAGCTCTTTTTCTCTGTCTCGCTCAGTGCTGGTGCTGATGATTAGCTGAATCTGACAGAGGGGAGAGAGAGAGAGGCAGACACAGTGAGACATCTGTGAGTGTGTTTATGTGGGACTAACAGAGTATCTCTTCCCAGGCAAGGACCACCCCCCACCTCTTGTAGAAATGAGTTAGCTGATGGCATGTACCACTCGCGCACAGAGCGGGGTGGGTGGCCTGGCAAAAGAGAGAGAGATTAAAAAATGAAAAAGATAATGTTTCTCTCTTGACTCTCAGACAGGGTTTTTGTTCAATCAATAATTTCGGAAGCACTTGTGTATTATGTGTCTGTTTTAAAATGTGTTAAAACAAACACATAATACACTGCTCAAAAAAATAAAGGGAACACTTAAACAACACAATGTAACTCCAAGTCAATCACACTTCTGTGAAATCAAACTGTCCACTTAGGAAGCAACACTGATTGACAATACATTTCACATGCTGTTGTGCAAATGGAATAGACAACAGGTGGAAATTATAGGCAATTAGCAAGACACCCCCAATAAAGGACTGGTTTTGCAGGTGGTGACCACAGACCGCTTCCTGGCTGATGTTTTGGTCACTTTTGAATGCTGGCGGTGCTTTCACTCTAGTGGTAGCATGAGACGGAGTCTACAACCCACACAAGTGGCTCAGGTTCTGCAGCTTATCCAGGATGGCACATCAATGCGAGCTGTGGCAAGAAGGTTTGTTGTGTCTGTCAGCGTAGTGTCCAGAGCATGGAGGCGCTACCAGGAGACAGGCCAGTACATCAGGAGACGTGGAGGAGGCCGTAGGAGGGCAACAACCCAGCAGCAGGACTGCTACCTCCGCCTTTGTGCAAGGAGGAGCAGGAGGAGCACTGCCAGAGCCCTGCAAAATGACCTCCAGCAGGCCACAAATGTGCATGTGTCTGCTCAAACGGTCAGAAACAGACTCCATGAGGGTGGTATGAGGGCCCGACGTCCACAGGTGGGGGTTGTGCATACAGCCCAACACCGTGCAGGACGTTTGGCATTTGCCAGAGAACACCAAGATTGGCAAATTCGCCACTGGCGCCCTGTGCTCTTCACAGATGAAAGCAGGTTCACACTGAGCACGTGACAGAGTCTGGAGACGCCGTGGAGAACGTTCTGCTGCCTGCAACATCCTCCAGCATGACCGGTTTGGCGGTGGGTCAGTCATGGTGTGGGGTGGCATTTCTTTGGGGGGCCGCACAGCCCTCCATGTGCTCGCCAGAGGTAGCCTGACTGCCATTAGGTACCGAGATGAGATCCTCAGACCCCTTGTGAGACCATATGCTGGTGCGGTTGGCCCTGGGTTCCTCCTAATGCAAGACAATGCTAGACCTCATGTGGCTGGAGTGTGTCAGCAGTTCCTGCAAGAGGAAGGCATTGATGCTATGGACTGGCCCGCCCATTCCCCAGACCTGAATCCAATTGAGCACATCTGGGACATTTACATTTACATTTTACATTTTAGTCATTTAGCAGATGCTCTTATCCAGAGCGACTTACAGTTAGTGAATACATATATATTTTTTTTATACTGGCCCCCCGTGGGAATCGAACCCACAACCCTGGCGTTGCAAACGCCATGCTCTATCAACTGAGCTACATCCCTGCCGGCCATTCCCTCCCCTACCCTGGACGACGCTGGGCCAATTGTGCGCCGCCAATGAGTCTCCCGGTCGCGGCCGGCTGCGACAGAGCCTGGATTCGAACCAGGATCTCTAGTGGCACAGTTAGCACTGCGATGCAGTGCCTTAGACCACTGCGCCACTCAGGAATTCATCATGTCTCGCTCCATCCACCAACGCCACGTTGCACCACAGACTGTCCAGGAGTTGGCGGATGCTTTAGTCCAGGTCTGGGAGGAGATCTCTCAGGAGACCATCCGCCACCTCATCAGGAGCATGCCCAGGCGTTGTAGGGAGGTCATACAGGCTCGTGGAGGCCACACACACTACTGAGCCTCATTTAGACTTGTTTTAAGGACATTACATCAAAGTTGAATCAGCCTGTAGTGTGGTTTTCCACTTTAATTTTGAGGGTGACTCCAAATCCAGACCTCCATGGGTTGATACATTTGATTTCCATTGATAATTTTTGTGTGATTTTGTTGTCAGCACATTCAACTATGTAAAGAAAAAAGTATTTAATAAGATTATTTCATTCATTCAGATCTAGGATGTGTTATTTTAGTGTTCCCTTTATTTTTTTGAGCAGTGTATATAATGATTAGGTTAATACTGCCCTGCATTGTACTCTATGTTCTTACAGTATATCGTACAGCAATACAGCAAGAGAAGCATGTATTTCATGTATAACATAGAGTAAATATCACACTTTTAAAATCATTCATGTACAGCCTATTTATTTGTCTGCCCTCTTTTGACAGGGGTGACATTTAGAAGAAATACAAGATCTAACAAATTCAAACCTAACCTTTACACATACTGTACAGTGGTCATACATCAAGATACTCATATGAATTGGAAAAGGGCTCAAGGTATTCAAATATTTTACTAAACTTTGGGTGTGACATTACAGAACCACCAACAGAGAGAGTGTGATGATTTAATCCAAAATCGGTCAAAAATTGAGCTTCACTGATATGGCAGGCTGGCAGCTTTTCCGTTGAAGCCAATTTGAAGTTCTATGAACATGCCCTACATTATACTTATTTGTAGTTACTTAACCTGTATTTATAAAGGGAGTCAACATTGAGAGCATCTTGACTGGCTGCATCACTGCTTGGTATGGCAATAGCACCGTCCTCAATCGTATGACGCTACAGAGGGTGGTGCGGACAACCCAGTACATCACTGAGGCCAAGCTCCCTGCCATCCCTCTATATCAGGCGGTGTGATATAGAGCCACTCAAGCCATAGACTGTTCTCTCTGCTTCCGCACGGAAAGTGGTGCATCAAGTCTGACACCAACAGGCTCCTGAAGCGCTTCTATCCCCAAGACATAAGACTGCTTAATAGCTAACTACAGTATATAAATAGCTAACAAAATGGCAGCACAGACTATCTGAGTTGACATTTTTGCACTGTCTCTATACACACTCACACACACAAACACTCACTTCATCATTTTCTCACTCACACATAATATGCACATACATTCATACTGACTACACACACGCACACCCACTCACATACAATCATGATTTCCGCTGCTGCTATTCTGTTTATCATATATCCTGATGCCTAGTCACCTTACCCCTATACATATCTACCTATATCACTCCAGTATCCTGCACATTGTAAATATGGTACTGGAACTGACTGACCCTGTATATAATATGATTACTTACTTTCTCGTGTTCGTATTATTTCTTATTTTGTATTTCTCGTGTGTTTTTGTTCTACCTTATGTTATTTTTAGTATTACATTGCTATTGATTACTGATTACTTACCTTTACTACTATAGCCCAGTCCCTCCAGGATTCCGCGATCGCATAATTTAATGCAAAATCAACCAATCAGCGCATATTATGCGAGAGCTCGCAATTTTGACCAGTCCCTGCACTTTTAGCGCATAAAATGGTTCAATCAAAAGAGGGTTTGTAATTTTGACCAATTACTGCACTGTTACAGTGGAAAATGGCCCAATCCAACCACACATACAAAACATTTCCCCCTGGCCTATCAGCGTATTCACGTGCGAAGATAATAATAATAATAATAATAATAATAATAATATGCCATTTAGCAGATGCTTTTATCCAAAGCGACTTACAGTCATGCGTGCATACATTTTTGTGTATGGGTGGTCCCGGGGATCGAACCCACTACCCTGGCGTTACAAGCGCCGTGCTCTACCAGCTGAGCTACAGAGGACCACTGATTGTTGATGGCTGACAGGCAGTACAATGAACAGAAAACAATCTCATTTGCCAACAAAAATAACAGCTAAAGACCGTGCGAAACAATTTCCAAATGTTTTACAAGAAAATGGGGGGAAATTGTTTTGCACTCCGTGCAACGTTGTGCTGGAACACAAGAGAAAGTCGACAATCAACAGTCACTTCGAATCAGCAAAGCATATGAGAATGTCAGAACAGTTCCCACAGCAGCGGCAGATCACCATGACTGAAGTGGTAGCAGGGAAGACTGTGGCAAGCGCTGAAAGAATCAAGGTGAGTGACATTTTACTCAAACTTTTACTCCGCTAACCTTGGCTTTAGTAGGGTGGTTGGCACTCTGCTCTCCCCAGTCTGTCTATGGAGAGCGTTGCTCAAAGCACTGAGTGCAATTTGTCAGCTTTGCGGTTTTAAACTCTCTGTAAAACTTAATACGGATCACGAAAGCACAATCTTTCTGGATTTTTTTTAGAAATGGTAATACTGTTTTAAAAGTACATATCAACCACAACTCCCTATTTTTACATTTTCTGTTCTTTATCTTCCTTTCAGAAAAAATCACAATCTCAAGAATTTTGAATACAATTTATGCGAAAGAAATATCGATCCTCAAATTGAAAGCGATTGATCAGCTTTGAATCTATTTGTTGTTTTTTTGAGAGAGAGAGAGAGAGAGAGTGTGAGTGGGAATGGGAGGTGCATCTCGTGTTGATAGCAAGCCCCAAGCCTGATGGAGATGAGAGGTGTGTGTAAGTGAATGTGTGAGTGGATTAGGACACACACATATATATTTTATCTAATTAATTGGTGCAATTGTTATTTTTCAGATTTGTGAAGATTGGGTATGCACTTGCACAGCAGTCAACATGCCCCTTTCCAAAAGTGATCACCCCTCAATGAGGCAGTTTCTGAAGGAGAAAGTAATCATCAATGGAGGTGCCATCCCTGGATACCACCAGCTACAGGAAAAGTACTTGGGAGATGAAGTGAAGAAAGAACTCAAGCAACATCTTGCAGGGAAGCCAGTGGCAGTCATCTTTGATGAAACTCCAGATGTTGTAGGAAGATGTGTACTAAACATCCTCATTGCACCACTTGAAAGGATACCTCGGGGAGAATGATTGCCTACCTCGCAGAGACAGTGTTTCTGGAGCAGTGCAACCATTCAACAGTTTCCATGGCAGTGGTGAAATGTCTACAAGACTACAATATATCCAATGATGACGTCATTGCCTTTGACACAGACAAAGCTGCACTTCAGTCATTGTTCCCAAACTCCCTGCACATAACATGCATGGCTCACATCATGAATCTGATAGGGAGTGCTTTCCGCAAACCTTTTGATCAGCTGAACGCATTCATGCTAAGTTTTTCGCAGGTGTTTTACCAGGCAGGGGCATGCAAAAGAAGATACCTTACCTTCCTCACCACCAAACTGGCAGGACGGAAGAGAGCAACTATGGCTCCCAATATATGTGCAACATGCTGGAACCACTCTACAAGGGGTTCATAGAGATGGAAATACAGGTATGATTTAAATCTACAGTTGAAGTCGGAAGTTTACATACTCCTTAGCCAAATACATTTAAACTCAGTATTTTCACAATTCCTGACATTTAATCCTAGTAAACATTCCCTGTCTTAGGTCAGTTAGGATCACCACTTTATTTTAAGAATGTGAAATGTCAGAATAATAGTAGAGAGAATGATTTATTTCAGCTTTTATTTCTTTCATCACATTCCCAGTGGGTCAGAAGTTTACATACACTCAATTAGTATTTGGCAGCATTGCCTTTAAATTGTTTAACTTGGGTCAAACGTTTCGGGTAGCCTTCCACAAGCTTACCACAATAAGTTGGGTGAATTCTGGCCCATTCCTCCTGACAGAGCTGGTGTAACTGAGTCAGGTTTGTAGGCCTCCTTGCTCGCACACGCTTTTTCAGTTCTGCCCACACATTTTCTATAGGATTGAGGTCAGGGCTTTGTGATGGCCACTCCAATACCTTGACTTTGTTGTCCTTAAGCCATTTTGCCACAACTTTGGAAGTATGCTTGGGGTTGTTGTCCATTTGGAAGACCCATTTGCGACCAAGCTTTAACTTCCTGACTGATGTCTTGAGATGTTGCATCAATATATCCACAGAATTTTCCTTCCTCATGATGCCATCTATTTTGTGAAGTGCACCAGTCCCTCCTGCAGCAAAGCACCCCCACAGCATGATGCTGCCACCCCCGTGCTTCATGGTTGGGATGGTGTTCTTCGGCTTGTAATCAACCCCCTTTTTCCTCCCAACATAACGATGGTCATTATGGCCAAACAGTTCTATTTTGTTTCATCAGACCAGAGGACATTTCTCCAAAAAGTACGATCTTTGTCCCCATGTGCAGTTGCAAACCGTAGTCTGGCTTTTTTATGGCGGTTTTGGAGCAGTGGCTTCTTCCTTGCTGAGCGGCCTTTTAGGTTATGTCGATATAGGACTCGTTTTACTGTGGATATAGATACTTTTGTACCTGTTTCCTCCAGCATCTTCACAAGGTCCTTTGCTGTTGTTCTGGGATTGATTTGCACTTACGTTCATCTCTAGGAGACAGAACGCGTCTCCTTCCTGAGCGGTATGATGGCTGCGTGGTCCCATGGTGTTTATACTTGCATACTATTGTTTGTACAGATGAACGTGGTACCTTCATGCGTTTGGAAATTGCTCCCAAGGATGAACCAGACTTGTGGAGGTCTACCATTTTCTTTCTGAGGTCTTGGCTGATTTGTTTTGATTTTCCCATGATGTCAAGCAAAGAGGCACTGAGTTTGAAGGTAGGCCTTGAAATACATCCACAGGTACACCTCCAATTGACTCAAATGATGTCAATTAGCCTATCAGAAGCTTCTAAAGCCATGACATAATTTCCTGGAATTTTCCAAGCTGTTTAAAGGCACAGTCAACTTATTGTATGTCAACTTCTGACCCACTGGAATTGTGATACAGTGAATTATAAGTGAAATAATCTGTCTGTTAACAATTGTTGGAAAAATGACTTGTGTCATGCACAAAGTAGATGTCCTAACCAACTTGCCAAAACTATAGTTTGTTAACAAGAAATTTGTGGAGTGGTTGAAAAACGAGTTTTAATGACTCCAACCTAAGTTTATGTAAACTTCCGACTTCAACTGTACATGCATTCTACAATTGCTTAAGTTATTGTCATTTTAATCATTGTAATTATGCAGAAAAAGGGGCCTACATATTTTGTAAACCGTGATGGCATTTCACAGTGAGTATAAGTAATATTTCTTATGTTCCACTTTTTTATTCCTTGTCATTGACAGGTGTGTGGCCGAAGTGCACCATAGTCTGTAGAGAAACTCCATGATATGCTACAAGACCAAGAGCTGGTTCAGTCGCTGCAGATTCAGCTGAACATCATGGCAGACAAGTGCAAAGTCATCCTGCTGCTTCTCGACATCTCCCAGAGCAGACGCCCCGTGACAACAAAGATCTTTCACTATTTAGAGGACTTGCAGATGAACATTGCAGCCAACAAAGATCTACAGTATGAGGCTTGTTCACACTACTTTGACGCAGTTGACAACTTGCCCTTTTCTGTGAAAACAAAAATCTTGAGCACTGTTGAAGAGGCATACAGCAAGGCAGAGGAAAAACTTACAAAGTAGATGTCAGATGGACAGCCTGCCATGGAGTTCCTCCAAGAAGTTAGGGTGTTTGATCCATGTCACATTGCGTTTCTGGATGACAGAGTGTCCGGCTACAAGGCTATTCCAGGCTTCAGTAAGGTACCGAGAGATGAACTGGATGCCTACTTGACCAATGTAGGACCAGCAGCACTGAGAGCCACAGTGAGTGGGGTGGTGGATTTGGATATCGTCTGGGATGGACTTCAAGAGAGACTTCCTGTGCTGAGCACCCTGGCCAAACGCTACAAAGATGAGCAAAGCAACAGTATCTACAAGCTTGTGTTGTCCAGCCATAGGCGATCAACCTCTAACAACAACCTACGAGCCTTGGTCTTCATGTATCTATGTATGGGGGCATGCATTTTTTTATATTGGAACTCTGAGCTAGCTTCCACCCCTTTTTTGTTCAGAAAAATAAACAAAATTGAGCACTTTAAATGTTTCTAATTGTTTTGTATTATGTATTCAGCTTAAAATAATCCTAAAACTGAGCACATATGACTTTTTTTGCTTTATATGAAATTAATGTGAAAAACAGCATTGCAAAATGTATTGTAGAATTTCAGAAAAGCTGTCACAAAATCAAGCATTTTTGGCTGCAGAAATCACTCAAAAACATCCCGAAGTCCTGGAGGGACTGATAGTCCATACAAACGCATTGAATAACACATTCGTAAATGGCAGAAAAGACAGTCCACATTTTTTTATCATAAGGAATAAGGTTTTGAAGTGTCTGTCCTATATCTAGGAGATATAAGAAAGCTCAGGAAATATTTACGTTTTTTTGGACACATATTTAACCCCCTTTTTTTTGTTGCCACAAAACCACCACCATACTTCCATTAATTTGTATGGGTTACCTTCAGGCGAGTCCCATGGGGAATGTGGGGTTTGTAGAGCAAAGCAATGGCCGTCGTGTTTGTGGGAGTCTCCCCTTTCCATTAAGTGGTCATATTAGCTAGTAGGCCAAACCGTTCGGACGCTAGACGTTTTTGGGATTTTTGGATGTCTCCTGGTCTGACAAACAGCGCTGTAGCTCTGCCACTTAACACCACAGATGCAGTAGGCCTGGATTGAGACGCGGGCCATTCAAAAATATATATATCCATAGCTTAAACTGACGGATTTTGATGGGGATTTTTGTATTATGTTAATTCATTTGACACACAGGTGCTTCAATCTGAAACTTGAAACTAAGGTCTCTTTTTCAAGTGAGCCCTGTAAACAAAATGCAAAATGCATATAGATAAAGAAAACACGTACAAGTACATAAAACAGTCCAAATAAAACACAGCCATATTTGTCATCAGAAGTCAATTATAAGAATACCTACATTCATCTGTGAACAGGTTGCTTCCCACTGGGCAAAAACTGGTTGAATCAACTTTGTTTCCATGTCATTTCAACCCCAAAATTCAATGTGATGTGTTACGCACTCCTCTCGGAAGAGGGAACGCAACACCATGCTACAACTCAACTCTCCGTGGTGTGAAAGAGGTATGGGACTGTAGGTGTGAGTAAGGATGACAAAAGGCAGAGAATACCGTTAACAGGGAATTTATTCCTTCGCACGGTAAGTTTGGGGAAAAGGGGCTGGACGGAACCAAAGCAAAGAAAGTAAATATCAAAGCCCCCTCTTCTACCTTACCTGCCTACCCACTACTTACTTAACTAGCACCACCTGGTGCACTAACCAAAATACAAGGGATGGTCCGCCCAGGTCTTTCCTAGTGTGCATAGACAGTTAACTTCTACGGGTAATGTATGCCCGCGGGTCTCTTGCCTAAGCACTCCCTAGGTGCCTTCCCCTTCCCCCCTTGGGAACAAATGAAACAGAATAACACAAACTGGTTCACAACAAAACCTGAGAAAAAAAAACTAACTCAGGACATTAAAGAAACTCTCTGAGCAACAAACTAACACAAAACATTACAATCGGTTCTCAGAGCAACAACAACACAGTACATACCAAACTCTTAGCATACAACCAACATGCTGTAACTCTCAGCAATTCTGGTTCCCCTTTCCTACCTTTTCTGAGCAACTGGGGCTTATATAGCCTCAGGAGGAGTTGGTAAATTGGAGACAGCTGCGTCCTGACGAGGGCGCGGTGTCAACTCAGCGGGGTGGTGGCACAGGAATCCTCATCTCTCCCAAGTGGACATTCTCAATTTTTCCCCTGACCCATCTGTCTATCTCCTCATTTGAATTCCATGCTGTCACAGTCACTAGCCCATTTGAGCTTAATATCCTTGTCATCTATCGCCCTCCAGGTTCCCTTGGAGAGTTCATCAATGAGCTTGACGCCTTGATAAGTTCCTTTCCTGAGGATGGCTCACCCCTCACAGTTCTGGGGGATTTCAACCCCCCTATGTCTACATTTGACTCATTTCTCTCTGCCTCCTTCTTTCCACTCCTCTCCTCTTTTGACCTCACCCTCTCACCGTCCCCCCCTACTCACAAGGCAGGCAATACGCTTGACCTCATCTTTACTAGATGCTGTTCTTCTACTAATCTCACTGCAACTCCCCTCCAAGTCTCCGACCACTACTTTGTATCCTTTTCTCTCTCCCTCTCCTCCAACACTACTCACTCTGCCCCTACACAGATGGTAATGCGCCGTCGCAACCTTCGCTCTCTCTCTCCCGCTACTCTCTCCTCTTCCATCCTATCATCTCTTCCCTCTGCTCAATCCTTCTCCCTCCAATCTCCTGATTCTGCCTCCTCAACCCTCCTCTCCTCCCTTTCTGCATCCTTTGACTCTCTATGTCCCCTATCCTCCCGGCCGGCTCAGTCCTCCCCTCCAGCTCCGTGGCTTGATGACTCATTGCGAGCTCATAGAACAGAGCTCTGGGCAGCTGAGCGGAAATGGAAGAAAACTAGACTCCCTGCGGACCTGGCATCTTTTCACTCCCTCCTCTCTACATTTTCTTCATCTGTTTCTGCTTCTAAGGCCACTTTCTACCACTCTAAATTCCAAGCATCCGCCTCTAACCCTAGGAAGCTCTTTGCCACATTCTCCTCCCTGCTGAATCCCCCCCCCCCCCCCCCCCCTCCCTCTCTGTGGATGACTTCGTCAACCATTTTGAAAAGAAGGTTGACGACATCCGATCCTCGTTTGTTAAGTCAAATGACACTGCTGGTCCTGCTCACACTGCCCTACCCTATGCTTTGACTTCTTTCTCCCCTCTCTCTCCAGATAAAATCTTGTGACGGCAGGCCGCCCAACAACCTGCCCGCTTGACCCTATCCCCTCCTCTCTTCTCCAGACCATCTCCGGTGACCTTCTCCCTTACCTCACCTCGCTGATCAACTCATCCTTGACCGCTGGCTATGTCCCTTCCGTCTTCAAGAGAGCGAGAGTTGCACCCCTTCTCAAAAAACCAACACTCGACCCCTCTGATGTCAACAACTACAGACCAGTATCCCTTCTTTCTTTTCTCTCCAAAACTATTGAGTGTGCCGTCTTTAGCCAACTCTCTTGCTATCTCTCTCAGAATGACCTTCTTGATCCAAACCAGTCTGGTTTCAAGACTGGTCATTCAACTGAGACTGCTCTTCTCTGTGTCACGGAGGCTCTCTGCACTGCTAAAGCTAACTCTCTCTCCTCTGCTCTTGTCCTTCTAGACCTATCTGCTGCCTTTGATACTGTGAACCATCGGATCCTCCTCTCCACCCTCTCCGAGCTGGGCATCTCCGGCGCGGCTCACTCTTGGATTGCGTCCTACCTGACCGGTCGCTCCTACCAAGTGGCGTGGCGAGAAGCTGTCTCCGCACCACGTGCTCTCACCACTGGTGTCCCCCAGGGCTCAGTTCTAGGCCCTCTCCTATTCTCACTATACACCAAGTCACTTGGCTCTGTCATATCCTCACATGGCCTCTCCTATCATTGCTACGCTGACGACACACAACTAATCTTCTCCTTTCCCCCTTCTGATAACCAGGTGGCGAATCGCATCTCTGCATGTCTGGCAGACATATCAGTATGGATGACGGATCACCACCTCAAGCTGAACCTCGGCAAGACGGAGCTGCTCTTCCTCCCGGGGAAGGACTGCCCATTCCATGATGTCGCCATCAAGGTTGACAACTCCGTTGTGTCCTCCTCCCAGAGTGCGAAGAGCCTTGGCGTGACCCTGGACAACACCCTGTCATTCTCCGCTAACATCAAGGCGGTGACCCGATCCTGTAGGTTCATGCTCTACAACATTCGGAGAGTACGACCCTGCCTTACACAGGAAGCGGCACAGGTCCTAATCCAGGCACTTGTCATCTCCCGTCTGGATTACTGCAACTCGCTGTTGGCTGGGCTCCGTGCCTGTGCCATTAAACCCCTACAACTCATCCAGAATGCCGCAGCCCGTCTGGTGTTCAACCTTCCCAAGTTCTCTCACGTCACCCCGCTCCTCCGCACACTCCACTGGCTTCCAGTTGAAGCTCACATCTGTTACAAGACCATGGTGCTTGCCTATGGAGCTGTGAGGGGAACGGCACCTCCGTACCTTCAGGCTCTGATCAGTCCCTACACCCAAACGAGGGCACTGCGTTCATCCACCTCTGGCCTGCTGGCTCCCCTACCTCTGCGGAAGCATAGTTCCCGCTCAGCCCAGTCAAAACTGTTCGCTGCTCTGGCACCCCAATGGTGGAACAAGCTCCCTCACGACGCCAGGACAGCGGAGTCACTCACCACCTTCCGGAGACATTTGAAACCCCACCTCTTTAAGGAATACCTGGGATAGGATAAAGTAATCCTTCTACCCCCCCCCCCCCCAAAAAAAAAAAACATTAAAAAAAATAAATAAATACACATTGTAAAGTGGTTATCCCACTGGCTATAAGGTGAATGCACCTATTTGTAAGTCGCTCTGGATAAGAGCGTCTGCTAAATGACGTAAATGTAAATGTAAATTTAACTCTCCAATCATCAATGTTTTTCAAATCAATCAGCTGCTTGTTGGGGAATTTCAGGAACCCATTTC